TCCTCGCCATCAGACAACCCATAACAGAGGGTTGCTCTTCCTTGTTGCCTAACTGGGTAATGAGGGAGAAGGTTAAGCTGGTTAATGACTTTTATTTATGAGCCTTCTGCATTATGTGTTTAGCTGCACAATTCAAATGGAAAAGCAACTTGCTACAGTCTCCTTGGAATGGTGCAATTCTGTATTGCAGCCTGAACTACTGCCATGCTGTTTGGTAATCCCTTCAGAATGATTTGGTTCTAGAAAATGAGTTTGTTCCCCTCTGAACACTTCAAATGTCACTTGCTCACAGTGGTGTTCTCTTCAAATGCTGTAGGTAAATGAAATCCTGTCTCATTCTTCTGTGTGGAGTGCCTTCAAGGATCAGAAACATGACTTGTTCATTTCTGAGACGCAAACAGCAGGATACCTCACAGGTTAGCAACCCTTTCTTATTTATGTCCTGAATCATACTGAACTGTTACTTCACTGTCAGACTTGATTTTGGAGATGGTGTTTATCCTTGGGATCTAGTGCCATCATGTGGCCTGAACATTCAATGCTGTAAAAATACAGTAAGTTTTTAAAGTATTTATCAAATGTATTATGCTAGCTGTGTGTGCTGCATGCACGCACAAAGATAGCAACTGATGGGAACTTAATGGCTGGTAATGGCATGGTGCAGACACAATCCTAGCACACTTAGGTCAGAGCAAATCAAGTTCTGGTTCTTCCTCTGCTCGCATGCACCACTGGATAGACACATCTTTAATGACTACATTCTGCTGTATCATGCTCCAAAACTTCACTATCACAGATTACTTAACTGTATCTGACAATACTTTGTGTAATGGTATTGTGGCAAACTTTGTCTGAAGTAACATGATGCAAATTTCTGACTCCTCTGTAGCCCTCAGCTGAACAAGTGAGTGGCATCAAGTAGTGTTCAAAGTTTAGCCTCTCAGTGTAAGTCCTTTGTGAGAGGTCAACATGAACACTTCCATGTGCTGTGTGAAACTTCCTTATCTAACCCTATTGGAATCTTGGTAAAGCTTTTGAGCATAACTGAATTAATGAGGTATAAATCACATGGCCATATAGACAGGAAGATTGTTTTTTGCAAGATAATAGCATGTATTTTGAGAAAATGAAACAAGGGCTTTTAAAGTCAGGAATTAGACACTCTACCAGCAGATGCTTAATATTTTGAGAGTAGGTATATTGCAACACTTGGTCTGTTTTTTCCACAGAGGAGAGACTCAATGCCTTAGCTGTGAACAGTTTTCTGTTTATTGCACCATTTAATGTCACTGACTAAGAATGTGTTTCATAAATACTATGAATTAGAAATATGAAGTAAATGCTGGCTGATTACTGACTAAGAACTGAAAATATACCAGACATGGTAAAGCTGGAGACTGGGGGCAGTATAGCTATAGCATTGCTTTAAGGCCTGTGCTGCATTTACATTGCTTAATGTTTAAGTGCTTGCCATTGTAGAATGAAGAAGCTGTACAAATGCAAAGTATAGATGGAAACCAAACTACAAGCTTTGTTTTTAACCTGCCTTATCTTGTATTCTGCCTTATCTCTTGCTTCAAATTGCTTTGCTGTTTGCACTTCCCTTGAAACTTCCCTTGCTTATTTCTCTTCCCTCAGGTGTCTCTTCTCCTTCCCTTCTTACTGGCAGCAGTCCCCTTCACCTGAGAAGTGGGCTTTAGGTCTGCTGTGCCAGGCAGCTTGCTAACTTCTGTGTAGCTCTCTAAAGCAGGTAGATACCATCTTGCAAAATGCACGCTGCACTTGCTGCATCCCAAATAATAGATGTATGCCATAGAACTGTAACAAATGTGTGGTCCCACACTGCAAAGTGCCGATAAACTTGCCTTCTTGAAGCACCCAGGAGCAGGAAACTAATGACTGCAGTGGCTGGTACTTGCTGGTACTACAGATGAACTAAACTTCTGAAGTATGTTAGGAATCTTCCATAATGGAAAAGTTTTAAGGACAAGAGAGCTGGTGGCACTTTTGCACTAGGACATGTAAAAATAGGTCTTGTTCTTGGCAGGTGCCACCAGTGGGCTGGCAAAGAGAAGTCCTCTTGTGAAGCCCCAGAGATGTTTTTACCAAAGACACTGCTTGCTTTGCTCCCTTGCTTGCAGCAGTAGCGTAGGACTGTTTGCAAGGAGACAAACCTTGCTCTGATGTTCTGGCTCCAGGCTGCAGTGTGAGAAGGGAGGGTAGGGCATGGAGGGACAGGAAATTTAGGAGAACTTAGGGAGGATGACTTAAGGGGAGGAGAATAAAGGACCCAACAGAACTTAACATGTTGAAGATTAGCAGTGTAGGCTGAAGGTCTAATACTAAGTTGATCACAGCATTGATGCAGGAACATGTTGGAGGTTGGCAGTTTTCTACAATCATTAATCTGATAAGAGTTGCTGTTGAAACAGCTCATGCTGCAACATGAGTTTTTATTGCATTTGTTGGAAGTTTCTATATGACTAAATTTTAAACTCCAAGCTTTGAGGGAGGGGGCTTTGTCTGCAGTGCAAAACTGACTGCCCCGAGAGTAATTGACATGGAGAACTCACTGCCAGTAATAAATCTGATACAAAGCTTGTGTATCCTAAGAATGCTGTATTTTTTCTAACTGAGGGCCCAAAGAGCTGCCTAGATGAGCATAAGGCAGTTCTGCTTGTTCATGGGGCAGCCCATCGAGTTCCCTTTAAATATGCGGCTGGGAAAACCCTCGCAATGCTGAAAACATTAATGTGGAGCTCAGTAGTGGAATGCATGCCTGAAGTCAGGTAGACTTCTGCAGCAGATCCTTTCTGTAGCAAAGGAGGCCACCTCCTCTCTACTGCTGCTTCCCTGGGGGAAGGTGACATAAGATAATGTTGGTGGTTGGGATTCTTCTGTAACTTATTTGTCACATCAGAATAAAAAATGCTAAGCAAGTCCAAGAACGGTCTCCACAATCTACTCCACTTAGTGAACTAAGGATGCCTTAATTCCTAGTGTTCCTAGATTCCAAAGAATCAAAACATAAACCCTTAAATGTTCTTGCTTGAGGTGTTTGGTTAACTGAGATGATGCATTTGAGTGTTACCAGAGGGAATAAAGCTGTTCAATCACTCTTTAGAATCAAAACTAATCACCAACATTCTGTTTTCCTGAAAGGCCCTGGAGTTGCTGGTTACCTTACTGCAGGGACGACATCATCTGTAATGCCCAACGTACCACCCCCCGTAGACAATGAAGTGGGAGATGTCAGCTAAGGACTGGAAATTCTTGTGAAAGAGAAAGAAGGGCAGACTGGCCAATGACGAGGAAGAGCGCTTTCCTCCAACACACTGAAGTGAACTTACTGCCTTTCCAAATGTTTAATGACAGTGTTATTCCATTTTTTTCTATGACTGTTTGGTTTTTTTTAGGAAAAAGTCAGTGATTCTAACTATCACACTGTAACACAAGAAAGCACTCTGTGGATCAGCTGAAATGGGTACACAAGAATTTTTTCTTGTTGTACATAAGCACATTTTGTTCCTTTATATTTGTTTACAAGACTGTGAATCAAACTTTCCTAGTTTTTATATTTTATGAATTAGCATGACTGGAGTTGAGCTACAGTCTAGAAGAACTGGGCTAAAATCACTTTGACCTCACTAATCCCCCCCTAAAAGGGCATCCCTTCTTTTCCCAGTCTGACGTGATCATTCCCATTGAACACGACTTGCAAAGGGTTTTTCCCCATACCAGTTCACTGATGTCCTTAATCATTATCTTCTTCCTGAGATCAAACAGCATTAGAGGTTTGTATGTATAACTGGCTTGACCAAATTGACAAAGCTTCAGCAAAAAAAAAAAAAACTTTAAGCTCACATGTTATGTAAGAAATTAGTGTAATTGTGAAATGTTCTATACTTTATCCAGTATATAAAAACTTTCTATATTGAGTGTACATTATACAGATCATTCATATGTACATAAAATTTTAAAATAAAGGGAATTAAGAGCCTTGTTAATGAGATAAAGGTGGTGGTCTTACGCAGCTGTTCTTTGAAAGTGTGGAAATGAGGGCTGTCAGAGCCCTTCATTTGAGCATGGCTGTATTGGGTTCCTGGGTATTTTTGCTTGGAAAAACACACTACTCATTTTGACAGCGTGGAGAACTCCTAAACCACAGGTACAGTGCAGGCTGTTTTGTGTTTGAAATGCACTTCAGCCACTGACTTGCTGACATTTTCAACTTCCTAGGAAATATTCTTGGCAGGAAGCAAGAGGAAACTAAGATGGATGGAAAGAAAAACACACTAATTAGTGCTTTCTCAGAGATTGTAATCTTGGTTTGAGGTATAATGAATTGATATAAGGTAAGAAACATATCTGAGGCGAGCTTCTCCTACTACATACTCTGAAACTGTACCAATTGGACGTCAGCAGCCTCTGCTGGAACACCCCTCAGGTGAGCACTCGGCTGTAGGCTCACAGACAGAACTGGCTGTGGTCTCATCCTGAAGACTGAGCCAAAGGGGGCCTGTTCTCTCCAGGCTTGAACACTACACTAGGGTGTTTTGTCTGCTCATGCAAAAAGTAAATGCTTGTATCCTTAAGTTGGTTGTTGATCCAACCCTGCGTAAGTTGAAAAGTGACTGTCCCAACTTCATAGGAAGGTGCAGTATGCTGTGATCTGTCTGATTCTGTCACTGTATGAACAAGTTCTCTTGTTAGTAACTATGTTGAAGAGGATTGTCAGAGAAGCAGAGCTGAGGAATTCAGAACTCAGACCTTTTAGAACTTCACCGAGGCATATTGCGCATAAATGGCAGGGCCTGTCTTGGCAGCAGAGGAGGCCATGAACTGCCCTTTGCCAGTCACTGCTGGTTCCAGCCAAAACTTCAGCTCCCCTGAGGGGAAGGTGCCACATGTTTAAGAAAGGTGAGAGCAGCTGGGGCCAGGAGACAGGAGGAGGCTTGTGAGGATGCACAAAAGGAAAGATGCAAGGGAAAACAAAAGGGGGACCTCTAAGGAAAAATTTGAGGAGATGTGTTTGAAGAAACAAAGCAGGCAAACTTATTTTCCTGCCCCTAGCCTCCCTTGGGGGGGGGGAGGGGTGGGGGAAGCAGGGAAGGACTGAGGGTAGTGTTAGTGAAAAGGAGGGCAGCTGAGAGCAAGAACAGGGGAGGAGAGTGAGCTGAGCTTTGGAAAGGGAAAAGAAAGGTATTACCCTAAGTGTTTACCTGTCATCTAATCAATAACTAAATGTTTATCCTAGCTTGCAATAAACTAAATTGGGTGACATTGAGTCAAAACTGCTTTGCGGACAATGCAAGGATAGAGAGGGCTTTGGCTTAGCAAACAAAGCACTTTAGGCCTGTTAGAAAATATATTTTATTTAGTGTTATACCAGACAACTTCTACTTTCTGCAATTTTTAAAAGCAATCCTCTGATTAAGTGTAATAATTACAGGTAAAGAGAGAGAGAATATGTATTGATTCAAGCTAGAATCAAGTTTTTGTATTCAGTTAAACATTAGTGCATGGAATAAAATTCTTCCTAACTCTTCCAACCATTTGAGATGGCTTTATGCTGACATTAGATTTTTGCGGTTAGCTGCTTTGACTGATCAAGCAGTTCCCACCTTGCAATTGTTGAGAGATGAACTTCATCAGGCCCATCTGCCAGGCGCAAGGTCCGTATATGAGCAAACCTGTGGTGGAAGAGCTGATTTAGGGGTTGACTGCTAGTCCCAGCACAGCAGCAAGCCATTCTGACAGCAGGAGTTCTCAGCATGACTTTTGCTATTGCTGTCCTTTCAACAATAGTCCCTTTGAAAAGAGCTATCACAGGAGAGAATGCAGCAAAATCATCCCTTGAGATGTGTGGACTGGAAATTCTGAAGGCTTGCATCTGCCTAAGGCCACTAACGATAAGATGGAGCTTTAGAAACAGCTCCTCGATGCTGCTGATAAGAACTATTTTAAGTCTAGTGCCAACCCTTTTTTTTATTTTTTTGTAAGGGTCAAACAGGGCAGTTGCATTGGAACTGAATTAAAACAATTGCTTTTAAGTTTTATAGCTTAAAGTCATATGGACCATGCCCATATTTTGGGCTGCCTAAGATGAAACAGCATATATTGATGTTATAAAATTATCTTAAAAGGAATGCTTAGAAGCTACAGCTAAGTATGCCTTTACTCACATAAGGGCCAAAGGAAAATCCTGGGAAACTCCAGCTCCACCACACACTTGGATTGCAGAGTCAATCACTTTAAGCACAGTGCGAGGGACAACCACTTTGGTCATGGCAACCTGTAGTTAGACGAGAACTCGTGTTATCAGTAAGTTTCATAAGAAAGTGAAAATGTTTACTGAAGACAGGTCTCTCACGGTACATTCCTTCCTCTTTGGACTCGATGAGAGCTCTCCTCTCCCTGTTCCCTGCATACAGTAAAACTGTTTCCAGTCATCCAAAACTATCTCCTCCTTAGAATCATGCAGGAGGTGCTCCAGCCCTCAGACCATCTTTGTGGCCTCCTCTGGACTCTCTCCAACAGGTCCACGTCACATGGTGTTGAGCACTACCTGAACTTTTATTTTCAAATACTTTATCATACCGAGCTCAAAGTTTTTAACTGAGCACACTTTCAAATCTTGTGACAATCAAAAGCACAGCTTGAGGCTCTCTGTTTTTAACATTATGTTCTACTATTAGAGGGGTAATTCTAGCACTAACTTTTAGCTTGTATTTCAACTAGTTGAATGCACAGATATAGCATCCCCCAAGTCATAGCCTAAGGCTGCGGGGAAAAAAAAAATAAATTACCTCTTTTCTTGCTTTTCTGTTGCCCAACATGTCAATCTTCCTGGCTGTTTTTAGCGTAAGCAGTCGAGCCTGTTCGATGCTAAGGCGGCATTCAGCAATCCAGTGGGCAACAACTTCCTGCAGAAACCAAAGCCAACAACCAGGAAGTCAGCTACTGCCTCCCAGCATGTCTGGATAAACCTGCCCTAATGAAGATGCCCCAATGCCTCAGCAGGTGCATGTTCAGTCATTAAAAACACCCTTGTGCAAATTAAAACTAGTTTGAGGCCATGTAATCTAATATGAGGAAAAAAGGAAAGAAAACACTTGACTAACAGAAATACTAAAGATAGAGCCGTTCTCTTCCTGGCAGGAAGGAGGAAAAGAGGAAAAACTGATTCTGGCACGCTCTCATTTCCTGGTCCCACCTACTGCCTGCTAGTCATTTTCCTGAAGCCCCTCAAAGCCTGCATTTTACTCCCTGCTTTCCTTCACACACAGCCACCTCTCTGTAACATGCCCCAGTATATAAAAATAGAGGGGTGAAAGAGAAGAATCAATTCTGTTTTTCTTAAAACTACTGGTGTTGGTGTGTTACACCCCCAGATAAACAGCTGCAGGGTGGTGCCTGCTACATCTGTCTGTTCACAGCGATAATAAATTAGTGACTCCCTTGATCTAAACCAAGTTACGGTCTTGGCAGCCCTTCCCTGCTCCTCTTAGTTAATTCCCCTCTGCAGCCAACATACCACAGTAGAAAAAAAAAATATCCATGGGAAGCTTGCCAGTGCAAAAGCTGCTTGAAGCCTAAGCCAGCCTCTGGCACACACTCCTGCCCAGAGCCTGGATGGTGTAGCCTTAGCAGCCACAGGAGGCATGAGCAAACGGGGAGCACTTGCTCCAGTGCAAAGTCTGGGGGCTCAGCTTAGCTCATGCCAGCAAAGGTGCTCTGAACTCGGGAGGAGGTATTCAGCCATGCTCTTTTGCTGACAGCTCCCAGGGTGGGGACAGTCTGGCTGTCACCACTTCCTTAGCTATCCCAGAGCTGTGAAGAACAAGGCTGGCTCCCAGGTTTTGCCTGTGGCTTCATCAAACCTTGGTTTTACTTTAACAAGCTTCTGAGAAATAGAGTGCCCCTCATCCAACTCTTACTAATTCTAGGTTATGGTCCTGAATGGAAGTTTGGCAATGACATGACTGGAAAATAGATACGCAAGATTATTCCCTCTGGATCTGTACAAAGAATTTTCTATAACCTGTGCCAGACACTAATTCAGTTTCCTCTTTCCATTGCCTTTACTTGTTTTTTCCAAAAGTTATCCTATCTGTTGGATAAGACTGAGGAACACTTGAAATGTGATAAGCCAACTACTAAATGCTGACGGTTCCTGTAAAAAGCAGATGGTCATCTTTTTGTTATTCTAGCGAGCTCTTTCTCACGAAATACCATTTCAATTCCAAAGCAAGACCAAAAATCCCACTATGGCCTTGGTTTAGTCTGTACTTTTATAAGTAAGAACTAATAACTGATCAGAGAAGTAAAATTTTTAGTCAAATTTAGACCCTTGAGTTGTCTCCAGTAATCATGAACAGAGATGTCTAGGTGAAAAATCCAATACACAAGAATGGTGACTTCAGATTGTAACTACAGACACATAAGCTGTATGCCTGAAGAAATACCTGTCCAAACTTATCCGTGAAAGCAAAGAAAAAACCTGGTGACAAAACCTGTATTCAAATCCAGCAAAGGATATCCAATTCATTGCAAGGAAAAAAAAAAATCCTGCAGGTTATAGTGAAAAACAGGAACCTCACAATGTGATTTTTTCCCTTGCCACCTGAGGCATTATGAATAAGAATTATAAGAATTCAAGGTTAGGGCACATCTATTGCAGTGTCCATTATCCGCACCAAAAGGGCAAAACAAAGGGTGGTGTCTGGAGCATGTGAATAGAGACAAAGCGGGAATATGCTTACGTGGTGATAGAGTTTCTTCCCAAAAGTCTCTCTCTGTGCTGCACGCTGGCACATTATCTGTAAAGCAGTTTCAGCTGAACCAAGGGACCTCATGCAGTGATGAATACGGCCTGGCCCAAGCCGACCTTGAGCTATCTCAAAGCCCCTTCCCTCACCTGGTTGGAAAGAAAAACAGGCACATGCAGACTCCTTGATTCCCTCTTGAAATGATCCATGGCTCTGAGCAGAAGTGGCCTCATAGCACCAG